ATAAAACAAGAAGAGGCGCCACGAAATCTGGGGAGACATCATGGCCCCCGCCATGAGATCCACCCCCCCCCTAGTCATCACCCCCCTCTTTTCCGCCCCCGAGGGGAGAAAGCCGCGCTCCTCCCCCACGCTGCTGGCGCCCTTCCCGAGGTTCGCCGCCGCGGAGCCCAGGGGCTCGGCCACGGCCTGCGCCGCCTTGGCGGGCCTGCCGACCAGGACCTCCGCGGCGCCCGAGGCCGCCTCCGGGCATCGGGGGGGCGGCGGGGGCGGCGAGGACGAGGACGGGGGCGACGAGAGCTAGTAGAGGACGAGGGCGAGGACGAGGACGAGGGCGACGACGAGGACGAGGGCGACGAGGGCGACGAGGACGAGGACGAGGACGAGGACGAGGGCGACGACGAGGAAGGGGCCGGGCACGCAAGCAAGTGGACACGGATCCCAGGATTCCCCATACTCCCACGTGCGTTCTGGATCTCTCCGTCCTCCCATCCACTTCACGTGTGACTCCCACCTCGGCATCGACGTGCACATGCGTCTGTCACTCTTGTTCCATCCTGAGACGAGAACGCCGACTCAGACGACGACGACGACGACGACGACGACGACGACGACGACGACGACGACAACGAGAACCAGTGCGACGGCAGTGGCGACAGCGACGCCGCCGACGCCGGCGACGACGACAGCAAGGACGACGGGACGAGTCGGAGCAGGGCACTTGTCAAGGGGCCCAGGGACACACAAATAAATACACACAAATCCCAGGATTGCCAATACTTCCCAATATCTTCTGGGTTTTTGTCTTCCCTCCCACATCCCATATTTTCCCATATTTTCGTGTGAGTCGACGATGAATTGTGTCTGTGTTTTCCCCTCCTGAACTTGACATGGCTGCAGCTCAAGTTCGAGCCCCGGGCCCCCCCCTCCCAGGGTCGAAGCGCACCAGCTCGCCGAGCTCCGTCCCGTCGTGGCGGCGAGGGGACCCCCTGAAGGCCCACGGAGACCGCTGCCCCCACTGGACACTCCCCCCTGCGCGAGGACGACGAGGTCGAGGACGAGTGCGACGGCGACGGGGCCGAGCGCGACGGCGGCATCACGCCCTCTCCGCCGCCGCCGCCGCCGCCGCCGCCGCCGCCGTCGTCGTCGTCGTCTTCGCCGCCGCCGCCGTCGTCGTCGTCCTCCTCATCCTCCTCCTCCTCCTTCTCTTCTTCCTCCTCCTCGTCGTCATCCTCCTCCTCGTCCTCCTCGTCCTCGTCCTCGTCCTCGTCGTCGTCGTCATCGTCGTCGTCTGAGTCGTCGTCGTCGTCTGAGTCGTCGTCTGAGTCGTCGTCTGAGTCGTCGTCTGAGTCGTCGTCTGAGTCGTCGTCTGAGTCGTCGTCTGAGTCGTCGTCGTTGTCTGAGTCGTCGTCGTCGTCGTCGTCCTCCTCCTCCTGCTCCTCCTCCTCCTCGTCGTCATCGAAGCGGCGCGGCGCGGCGCGCCCTGGAGATGGCACTGGGCAGGCCGGCGATGCCCGCCACGGTGCGCCCCGCGCCGTCTGCGACGCTCGCGAGGCCGCGGCCCAGGTTGGAGAGCCCGGTGGACACCGACGGGAGGCAGGGTCCTCCTCATCCTCCTCCCCTCCCTCCCTCCCTCCCTCCCTCCCTCCCCCGACCTCCTCCTCCTCCTCCTCCTCCTCCTCCTCCTCCTCCTCCTCCTCCTCCTCCTCCGCCTCCTCCTCCGCCTCCTCCTCCTCCTCCTCCTCCTCCTCCTACTCTACGGGCGGAGGGCGAATGCTCCGGTGGGAGAGGCGTCGACTCAAGGTTCGAGGCTCGAGGCTTTCGAGGCTTTCGGGCGTGCTCGCAGATTTGCTCGGCGGTCGTCCGGTCTCGTGGTGCGTTCTGGCAGCTGCGCCTCGCCGAGAGCGTGCCAGCAGTGCCCGAGCTTTCTTGAACGGCCGCCGGAGGCCCGAGAAGCGACCCGAAAACCAACGACAGGGGAGTGGGGCGAGATGGAGGGGAAGGGGGAGGGATGGAGGGGAGGGAAGGGGGAGGGCGGGAGGGATGGATGGGGAGGGAGAGGAAGAGGGGGGGGATGGAGAGGAGGGGAGGGGAAGGGCGGGAGGGATGGAGGGGAGCCCGCTTGAAACCGAGGGGGTGAGGCGGAGGGCGGAGACGGGGGGGGCTCGAGGGGGGGCCAATCGAGATAACGGCGGCCCTCGAACCCCGAGAGATCCCAACAAGCATCCAAGAGACCGACGTACAACCCAGGAGGCACGTTGGCGGGATGGGCCGAAGACGACTGAATCCGCCGCCCCCTGTCGATTCATCGCAGGGGTGCCTGGCGTGCTGGATTTGTTCGGTTTGGGTTTTGGTTCTTTTTCCAAAAGAACTCTCCCAGTGGGTTTCGGCCCGTCCCGCGGGCCGCCCCCCAAGACCCCCAAGACGCACACGCCATCGCCCAATCCCAATTCTTCCTCCAAGACGGTCCAACATGGCCTCCAGGATAGTCACGTTGGCCCAAGATGGCCTCCAAGATGGTCCAAGATGGCCTCCAAGTCCACCCAAGATGGTCCAAGACGGCCTCCGAGACGGCCCAAGAGGGTCCAAGATACCTCCAAGTTCGCCCAAGAAGCCTCCAAGACGGCCCAAGAGGCCTCCAAGAGGTTCTCCAGGAGGGCCCGAAGAGGCCAAAATCGTCCACTTTACGATGGTTTTGGAAGGATTTTGGTGTTTTTTGTCTTTTCGGCTTCCCGACGCTCCAAGACAGCCCAGGAGGCCTCCAAGAGCGCCCCAAGACGGCCCAAGAGGCTTCCAGGAGCGCCCCAAGACGGCCCCAAGACGGCCGCAAGAGGGCCCAAACACGACCCAAGAGGCCTCCAAGACGCCCAAGATGGCCCCCAAGACGGCCCCGAGGCGGCCCGAGACGGCCCAAGAGCCCCCAAAGATCGCCGAAAGATCGCCCAAGAGGCCTACAAGACGGCCAAGATGACCTTCAAGATGCCCACGTGTTCCCCGAAGGCCTTCCAAACCGATTCGGGGAACACATGGTCCGATGGCTTGGCAGGTATGGCCTCAACGTTCGGCCACATAGGCGCTTCCCAAAAGGCAGGGGGCGCCGGTGGTTCGCCGTAGGCGTCTTCGATACTACGTGTGTGCTGGGGGTCTGTTGTTGGTGCACGATTGTGATACTTTTCGATGGCAACTTGGGAGCCTCCCATACCACCATGTCGGCTCTTGCGAATCGACGCTGATCGACGCTAATCAACGCTAAATCGACGCTAACCGACGCTGACCGACGCTAAATCGGCGCGATCTCATCGCCTCCCATGCGCTGATCGACGCTAATCAACGCTAAAGACGGAAGTCAGAGGGTGGGTACACCAGACTCCCATGATTCGCTACCGAAATGATTCTCTACATGTACTGGTGCACGTGTTTGATGAGTGCTCTGAGTCCATGACGCCGACACCGACGTCTGCTCTTGATATATGGCACTACCCATCGGTCGGAAGAAGCAGGTAGAACCATTGAAGTAGGAAGGCGTTAAAAAAAGATTGGGTTCCGTCCGCCCCCTAAGAAAGACGGAAAAGACGAAGCCACTCTATCATTGAAGCAGGAAGGCGCTGAAAGTAGATTGGAATCTGGGACTCCAAAAATACTTACTTTTAGGTCGGGCATGTCCCCCTACAGGCGGATTTTGGAGGAAAAATAAAGAACACAGTCCAAAAGCATCAAAACAACACAAAAAACAAGACAACCAAAAAAAGATCGTCCCCATACTGTGTTGTACTATTTTCGAATATTCCTCCTGTAGAGAGACACGCCCGACTTGAACCAAATTTCAACGACCGAGGGTTAATGTCTGGCATTGGTCGGGCGTTGGTAGAACTGGGTTTAGTAGAACCTGGTTT